TTACTTAGGCAGAACTATCACTAGTACCAGCAAGCCAACTCTTGAGCTCTGCTCCCTGGTACTGGGTCTAGGTCTTCCTCAGGCAGTTCCTGCTAATTTTAAGGAGAAGAAAAGTCAGGTCTGATTTTGTCGCCTTGTTGTTTCCTGTGTGGTACCTCACCCTATGAGGAAAGTACCAAGCTACTGGATATGAGTCTGGAAACGTAGGGGAGAAATGGATCCTGAGCAAGGGCTGAGCAAGGGCAGAGAACAATTAACCATGCAATCTTCTCAATTTGGGAAAAGAATGGTACTTGGGCCCACATCCCAAACCACTGCCTTTCCCAATCTGACACCATGGATGAGACTCTGAGTCACAAAGCAAGTCACTGGTACAGACTCCAGTTCCAGGGGGTCTTCTGTAGTCTTGAATAGTATGATGTCCTGAAGTTAAACCACTGCATACAAACTGTGAATGTTCCATGATTTTGCTCCTCTCCTAGCTACAGCTGTTAGTGGAGGTGAACAGGAGTAAGCATGGACAGGTGCATTAATTGCATGCATCTACAGCTCTCCTCCCTTGTAAAAACACCCAGCCAGGGGCACACCAAGAGATGAACCTCCCAATGGACATCTCCATCTTCACACATTTCCCTCATTGGGACACCAAGGCCTGCACCCCTGGCCATACACACATCCTAGTCCTGTGCAAACCAATCCATAGGCATCTCTGTCACACACCAAGTGAAAACCTACTGCAGCCAGAACAACATGACAGATACATCTCTCTCGTCCTCAGGGAAACATGAGCAAGCCGGTGCCTTTAAACTGCCACCTCTCTGCTGGTGCTGAACTCTGGGTACTGAGGGGTCACAGAGCTGTCCCTGCCTTCCCTCCTTGTGTGGGTCTCTAAGCAAGTGCTCTAAAGTAATCCCACCCAATATCTGGACATGTTGTATGGTGCTAACCAAGAAGAGAAGAGCCTGCTGAAGAGGAGAATCTGTATCTTGAGACAGTCCTGAGTTTTCTGTAGGACACTGTGGAGATCAGGCCCCCAAATCTTGCTCCCCAGGGCATACTCATATAGGCTCCTGCTTCCAGGGTTTAGATAGCAGAGGCATATTGGCAAGCAAATTACACCAAAAATACCTTAGGAGACAGGGCCATATATTCCAGGTCTTCTCTGATGAAGCCCACTGCCATGACCCCAGCCACTTCTCTGCTGTTGCAGGAATCTTTTCCAACCCAGCTGATATGAAAACAAGAGCAAGAAGAAAGAAAAAAAGAAAGAAAGAAGCAGATGTTATGATGTTCGGCACAGGACTAACAGTGCATCCTTGTCCAGGGGAAAAGGAGGGAGGTGGGTTCACTGGGGAACAGCAGCCAATGGTCCTTGACTTTGTGTGTGTGTGTGTATATATGCGTGCGTGTGTTTCTTAGGCTTATGATGTAGCTGCTGATTCCAGTCCAGACTCAAGTTCCTCCCCTTTCACCGCTGCCTGCTGGCTGGTAGCGAGGAGTCTTTCAAGGCTGGGAAGTGAGGTGTGGGAAAGAGCTGGGGAGTCTAGGAGGAGCAGGGGAGAAATAAAGTATAAAATAGGCTCCCAAACCAGTTCAGCGCTTAGGCTATGCCCTTGTGAGTTTGTTAGCGAAGGCTTTTAGTTTCCATTTAAATCTAGACTCTGTCTCTATCTCCATAAAGTGGCTTTGCCTTTGTGGTTTTTTACTGGATTGACGTTTCTTCTGCACGGCTTGCTTTCTCAGTCCTGACCCTGTGTTCAATATCTTCCCACGGGTTGTGGTGAGTGGGAGAGTGGGGGGAATTTATCACAATATCCGCGGGGCGGATCTGTCGTTGGTGATGGTTCTGCGCAGACGCACCCCACGCCGGATGGCAACCAACATGTCTTCAGCAGGTGGTTCACTGGAGGCAGCTGGGGGTGGAGTGGGTGTCTCCTCTCCAGGGCCAGGCACAGAGAGCGCAGTGGGGAAAGGGAACTGGCCTTCACCCAAGGCATGCGCGCTGGCCACCAGCTCGCCAATCTTCTCCACCAAGCTGTGCCGATTGGCAGCCAGCTGCTGGTCCTCCTCTTCCTCAGCAGAGAGGTGCTGCCCAGCACCCGGGTATACTGATATCTCCATGACATTGCTGCCCCAGGCTGTGTTGGGGAGGCTCAGCCTCTTGGGTGAGGCTTTGGCAAAGTCTATAGCATTTGGCGAGGCATCGTCAGTATAGAAAACGCACTCCTCACTGCCCACTCTGGTCGGTCCAGTGTAACTAGGGGAGTCGGGCACTGTGGGGGTCTTCACTGGGACAATGGGGGGCCGGATGGGGATGGGGCCAGCGTTGGAGAGGGTGCGACGCACTGAAGGCTTTGTGGAGGGTGTGCGCCGGATAGTTGCCACTCCAGGGGTGGCACCAGCTGGCAGGTTGGTCCCGGTGGGCAGACCGGCAGTGGAGGCAGGGCGCTTGGTCTGGATCATGCGGCGGTAGTTCTGGGCAATGTTGCTGTTGCGTGGGATGGTGGAGGATTTGTCAAACTCGCTCTGGCTGTCGCACTCCACATCGCCATTCACTGAGTAGCAGTCGTAATCTGAGCCTGGGAGGCAACACACAGGGTCAGCCTGGCCACACAGCCACATCATGGGACTACAGATGCATCCCATGTCTTACAGCCACACCACACATCCATATCAAATAGCCATATCATTAGGACTTACACTCAGCATAACCTACAGGCCCCGCACAACCACAACATTACACATAACATAAGCACCTCACACAGACAAAATGGTAGCACCTGCAATCAGCACAACTCCACCCATCTAAAAGAGCAATCTACTAAACACAGCAGTCAAATCATCCATCACCAGCTACAGTAAGAACAGTGTGTGCACTGTGCACAATATAACCACTCTATTTACACAGCCTGCGTCACCATACAAACAACTACAGCAACTACTCAACCCACAACACAAATAGAAACAACACAGTGTGTTGCCAACAGGTCAATAAGCTTTCACCGTGCCATGCAATATACGGAAAACTCAGTACAACTGTGCCTCATTCAGCACCATACAGACATTGCTCACACTGCAGTCAAAACATATCACCACATCATCACACTATGGAACATTCACACCCCATGTGATTTAAATAAAACACACAGTACAGTCACCTCAGATGAACTAGAAACAAATTTCAATACTGCCAGTAAATCATACAGTGGACTATAATGCACAATATAGAAAGCAACAAGCAAAACAGAATAATCAAATTGCATGAGACGTGATAAGGAATACGTCCCACAGTAAGAAAGCAGCACACCCACCCGCCATGTGCAACACAAATCAAATAGAAGACAAAACTGAGCAAAATGTAAGGCTGAAGACCAAAATCACACAGCACAAGCATGGTGCAACCAAGCCACGCCACACTGCAGCCGTGGTGTGCATGTAACCAGCATATAGCATCCCCCACCCCCCTGCTACCTCCCCAAGCCACCATACATGCTGGAATGGAAGGGGAAACTGGAAAAAGGTAATTTTTTTGGCCCAAAAGCTGAAGTCATTTTTGATCTGCAGGTTTTAAAGAGGAAGCAGAGTCTGATTTGTCAATGTAATTTGCAACCATTTCAATAGAAAATACTTCACAGTGTTATGGGACCTCTCTGCTCCCCTACAACTCCCTGCTCTCCACTCCTCAGTTCAGCCCTGCCCCCTCATGTCTCCCTGTGCTCCACTCTCCAGGTTGACCTTGGGACACCAGAGGACCAGCCTGTTCCCTCACATCCCCTGCACCCCACTCCATAGCTCAGCCCTGCCCCATGGCATTATGGGAGCACTTCTCAGTTCACCTCTCTCTGGAACCAGGACGGGAGCATCCTGCTTCCTCAGCCCAGCCCTGCCCCTCACCACTATGGGAATGCCCTGCTCCATCACATCCCTCTGTGCTGCACTCTCCAGATCAGCTCTCCCCCGCAGCATGATGGAAATTCCTTGCTCCATCCACCCCCCCTTGCCCACACTAGACTCCCTAGCAGCTGGATCTTGCCCTGAAGCGACCCAGCAGTTCCTGTTTCTTGTTCTCCACATGAGCCTAATAGCTTCACCTGGTGGTCACAGCCTGCCAACACTGTGAGGATTCAGCTGCAGGGTCCTGGTCCCCTGACTCATTTCATGTCACGGGTGATAGATGGAACTCCTGACCCCCACCATTCAGACAGGGTGCAAGCTTGGGAAAGAAGTCCTACCACCCCCATGTCTTGTACCACTACCTTGAGATGGGATGGTGTCTTCTGAGCAGGATGGGGTGGTGGTCTGTGTGCTGTAGCCACTGGAATACTGTAGCGAGTCCCGGCTGCTCTTCTGGTGTTCAAGGCTCAGGCCGCGGGTCAGCACCATGGCCAAGTCACTGGCAGCTGGAGACACCTCCTCGCCATGCTAAGGGAGGATGAATAAACCCCATCACAGATCACCTCAGCTCTGAGCAGTAGCCTTTCGTGCCTGGTCTCTAGCAGAGCATCCCCACCACTGTTCAGCATGACTGGGCACCAGCAGCAGTTGCCACAAATCCTGGGAGTCAGCCAATAAGCTCCATAAGCTGAGTGAGGTCCTGAGACTTCAGGAGCCTGATTCCAGCCACTGGGGGAAGTCCTGGGGCTCAACTCCAGGCAGCTGCTTCCCAGCCAGAGAATGGAAGAGCACAATGCCTCACTGTGTGCTTACGGGCAATACCACAGGGAGGGGCTGTATGCACACAGACCTCGTGGCATGTTACGGGAGCCTCTAAGGCAGGGGTGGGCAATTATTTGGGCCTGTAAGCCACATAGGCAGTTTTGAGGAGCTGTTGCAGGCCAGTCACCAACACCTCCCTACCCCACCCCCTACCCTTACAACAGCTCACCAAACCTGGAGCCCATGGGTCCTGCAGCTCCTCCCTGCCACTGCTGCTGCCACCAGTGCTCAGCAGCAGCTGAGTGCACAGTCCTGGCTCCCACCCACCCTGGACTTGCCCCAGCTGGAACAGACCAGCTGTGGACCTAGTGGGAACCAAATGAACAGCCCCCATTTCCACCCCGGCCTGCTTTGCACCTGCTCTGGACCTGCGTCTGCTGAAGTGGACTAGTTCCAGACCAGACCAGGACCCGTGAGCATAGCCCCAGCTCTGGTCCACTCCATGTCTGCTCCAGACAGGCCCACCCATGATGAGTAGTGGTAGTGGTGGCTGGGCAGAAACTGATGCTGGGTGCAGGGGAAAAGTGGGCACCCCGCCTTGCTGCTTCCAGGCCCTTCTTGCTGCAGACACTTGAGCCTGCCACCTGAGCTGCCCTGTGGCTCCTCTCCACTGCCACTGCTGCCCTGCTGGGTGGTCCGGAGGAGGCACTGGTGACAGTGCTGGCAGCAGCAGAGAGGAGCTGCAGGTCAACCCGGGTGCAGGCTCCAGGGAGCCACAGTAAGAAGGGCACAGGCAGCAATGGGGGGAGGGGAAGGGTGGCCACTTTTCCCCCATGCCTAGCAGCAGCTTCTGCCCAGCTACCATTACTGCTCATCATGGGCCAATCCGAAGCGGGTGGAGGGTGGGCCAGGGACAGGGCTGTGCGCATGGATCCTGGTTGGTCCAAAGCTGGTTTGCTCCGGCCAGAGCAGGTCTGGAGCAGGCATGGGGTGGGCCAGGGTCGGGGCTGTGCACACGGGTTCCCACCAGTCTCCATGGGGCTGGGGCTGGTGGTAGCAGCTAAAAGGAGCTGCCACTGCCTAGGCTACCTAGAAATGGGAGTCCAGTGGCAGAGCCACCCCAGTTCTACTGCACACCTGCGGGTAGCGGGATGTGCACCATGGGCCAGACAGCACCCGGGCCAGGTACGACCAACCCACCAGGGGCTGGTGAAAGTCCCTCTGCAGGCCGGATCTGGCCTGTGGGATGTATTTTGACCACCCCTGCTCTAAGCAGATACCACCCCACAAGACAGCTGCATGGCCAAGGGATGATTCCACACATTCATGTTCTATGAAGTACCCTTCAGTAAAAGGCAAAAAGTGACAACTGTAAAGTGAACTTCCAGGGGGCAGGACTCAAACCTAGCATCCACTGTTGCCAGTTCTCCCTCTCGTCACACCTGAGGGCCCGAGTTCGTTCTACACCTGCACTGCTCCCCACACCCTGGCCCTTTGCAGCTGTAGCTGGTCCTACCTTGGCAGCGATGGTAGCTGGAGACATTCTGGGCCTTGGTGTTTCCTCCACACTAATTCCCGGATACACCATGCTGGCTGAGCCCATTTCAGCATCCCGCAGGTGCTCCACACGGTCCTTCCTTCGCTGCAGGGTGTTCACGGCTGGTTGGTCATAAGGAGTGGCCTTAGACCAATCCTGCAAAGGCAAGGGAAGCATGCTAAAGCACTAAGTCTTGTGAGTGGGGGAAAAAGAAGGTAGCTATAGATCAGTGAGGATGGAAAGAAACAGAGAAGTAGATGTGAACTGTGGGGGCTCTGAAGGTGATGAGAAAATTATTTCATGGCTGGTTCGGCGTGACTGGATGGCCAGTGAAAAATGAGAGGAAGGTCAAAGGAATGGGAGGTGGTGAGGGCAAAACCAGTTCTGTGACCATGCTCAGCAGGCTGGTAGTTTTATGGAAACATTTTCTCTTTGCGCCATGGCCGGTTTAACATTTATAGTGCAATTGACCTGCTGAAGCTGCTAGAAGACTGCAGTGAGTCCTGGCTGCTTTTCTAGTGCTCAAGTCTCAGACAATGGGTGAGCACCATGGCACAAAGATGTTCCACAGATAACATGGAATATCTTTGGGGCTGGCTTTGATGGTGCCTTAAACTGAATGGAAGGCATGGTCCAGTCCCCAGGCTGACAATCAGCTGAGTGTCAGCAAGGGGTCTAGGGCAGCCAAGGCTTTCAAACTAGGCTGGGGTGTCTTCAAGTGCTGGGCTCTTGACCCTAGGCTCCCTGTGTACCAACAACTTGAAAGCTGTACACAGTGCAGCCCTGTATGAGGTTGCTGAGTGTACAGCTTGGAGTTTGCCGAGCAACAGGGAAACAATATAAGCAGTAGAAACAGGAAGGGATTACTAAAGAGGAGTATACCTCCTCAGCTCGCAGTTGTAGGGAGGCAGTTAGAAAGGCTGAAGCTACCATGGAGATGAGGTTGGCATCCCAAGTTAAGAATAACAAAAAATTGTTTTTCAGATATATAGGGAGTATAAGAAAGGCCCAGGGTGGAATAGGACCTCTACTGAATGGGCGAAAGCAATTGGTGACAGACAGGGGGGACAAGGCTGAACTCCTCAACGAGTTCTTTGCCTCAGTGTTCCTAAACGAGGGGCAAGACAAGTCTCACAATGGGATTGTAGAGAGACAACAGCAGGGCACCAGACTACCAAGTGTTGACCCTGAGATACTGCAGAGTCACTTGGA